TTGCCTCCTATTTTCCCCATAACAACAGCCCTGTGAGGTGGGTTAGGCTGAGAGAGACTGAAGTCCACATACTGCAAAGGTGCCAAGGATGAGAAAGAGGAGTCTACGGAGTCAACAATTCAACTTCCAACAGGTACTGAACCCTGAATGCAGGTAGTCCTCAACTTACAACAGTTCCTTTAGTGACTGTTCAACGTTACAACGGCAGTGAAAAAAAGTAACTTACGACAATTTTTCACACTTACAACCCGTGGTGGTGAACCTATGGCGTGCAGCGCCCTCTCTGTGGGCGCATGAGCCGTCGCCCCAGCTAAGCTCCACCATGCATGCGCAGAGGGGTCTCGCACACATGTATGGGCATAGGGGTGTGGCATTCCCCCCCCCCCCAAAGCTCTTTTTTTGTCCCAGGAGGCTTCAGGGAGGCCTGGTAGGCCCAAAATGGAACACATGGGTACGCCCCTCTCCTTGCAGCCCGTTTTTGAGCCCAGGAGGCTTCAGGGAGGCCTGCTAGGCTCAAAACGGGACATGGCTGGTGCGCCCCTCCCCACACAGCCCATTTTTTATCCCAGGAGGCTTCAGGGAGGTCTGCTAGGCCCAAAATGGGACACGAGGGTACGTCCCTCCCCCGAAGCCCATTTTTTGTCCCTGGAGGCTTCAGGGAGGCCGTCTAGGCCCAAAATGAGACATGGCGGGTGCGCCCCTCCCCCTCCCCCTGCAGCCCATTTTTGATCCCAGGAGGCTTCAGGGAGGTCTGCTAGGCCCAAAATGGGACACAGGGGTACGCCCCTCCCCCCAAAGCTCTTTTTGGTTTCAGGAGGCTTCAGGGAGGCCTGCTAGGCCCAAAATGGGACATGGTGGGTGCACCCCTCCCCCTGCAGCCCGTTTTTGAGCCCAGGAGGCTTCAGGGAGGCCTACTAGGCCCAAAATGGGACACAGGGGTACGCCCCTCCCGAAGCCCGTTTTTGGTCCCAGGAGGCTTCAGGGAGGCCTGCTAGGCCCAAAACAGGACATGTTGGGTGCGCCCTTCCCCCCGCAGCCTGTTTTTGATCCCAGGAGGCTTCAGGGAGGCCTGCTAGGCCCATAACGGGACACGGAGGTGCCTCCCCCACAGCCCGTTTTTTTGGTTTCAGGAGGCTTCAGGGAGGCCTGCTAGGCCCAAAACAGGAACCGGGGGTGCGCCCCTCCCCCACAGCCCGTTTTTGTTCCCAGGAGGCTTCAGGGAGGCCTGCTAGGCCCAAAATGGGATGTGCGTGTGTGTGTGTGTCATGCGCAGGCACGGTGAGGTGGGGGGACGGTGCGGGGTCGCATGCAGGTATGTGCAGGGGGCAGAGTTCATTGCATTGTGGCCCTGGGTACGATTTCAGCATACTAGGACAAAAAGCTTAGCCATCACTGCTTACAATCCTTGCAGCATCCCCATAGTCATGTGAACAAAATTCGGGCTGTTGGCAACTGACTCATCATTATGACGGTTGCAGCGTCCCGGGCTCACCTGTTCCCCTTTTGCGTCCTTATGACAAGCAAAGTGGAAGTTTTGGGGGGAACAATCTCTTGCGACTAACCACCCCCATCCAGAGGCGGTTTTCATTTACCTTCCCTACTGGTTTGCAAATGTGTGTTTGCTTGCATGTGCGTTTTGCTTGCACATGCCCTGCCCACCCTCTGTGCATACGCTTTTGCTCAAAAAACATCCCTAAATAGGGCAAAATAGAGCCAGGGTGGGTGTGTAGCCCCACCTGCGATTTCCGCTACTGCTTTGGCTGAACCAGTCCGACCTGGCAGAACACCACGTCTGCCCCCATCCTACTAGTTGCAAATGTTCAACAGGGCTGCTGTTGCTCACCAAGATTGTCGAGCCTCTGGCGAAAGGAATAAGCAGGGCTGGTGAAGCGGGTGTAATCATGATTGACAAATCCAATTGTTGGAGGTAAGCTATAACATCCAGGGCCAGGACCTAAGGAGAGATGGAAACGTTTTTTTTTTATTTATTT